CTGCATTGAACCCATTCACCCAGTGAAGCAGTGGGCAGCCACCAATGCAGCGCCCGGGGAGCAGTGTGTAGGGACGGCACCTCGCTCAGGGGTACCTCAGGGTAGCCGTTCAGTGGTCATGAGGTAACCACTCCACCTACTGACCTGCGCTATCCCCGCTCTGATGAGAGAGAAGTTTATCTTCCAGTCACCAGAAAGATGAAACAGTTTACCCAAACGTGCGTCACACTCAGTGTGTCTGTCCGCCACGCTAATCTCTGCCGTCGGCTCGACTGTCACCACAAATCAAGCTTTCTGCTACAACCTCACCGACAGCCGTCAAAACAGGCGTAAACTTTATGCTCTGTTTTCCTGAAATACTGGGGCTACTGCGCCCTGTGGTGACTTCTCTCCAAACCAGACGTGAACACACGGAGACAGCATCGCCCCAGGCCGTAACTATTTCACCTCTTCCAAAAATTAAGGCGATCCTAGTGGATGCAGTCTGTGATCTAGATGAACAATAGTCTCGTCTCTCATCTCAAAGTAGAAGCTGCAGGATTATAAGTCACGGTCATGTCAGACTCCAGAACCGATATAGATGTAATAAACTAAGCTTCTTTCAGCTGCATCGGTGCATCAAAAACAAATTGTTAGCATTGTTAGTAGTTTTTTTCCCTCCTGTATGAGACAAAGCTGCTGAGAAGAGGCTGTGAGAGCGTTTCACTCATCCGTCACGCAGCAATTTTACAGCCTCAGAAGAGCAGTGCTTCTCCTGTTTGATCAATTTATTGATTGCAATGTGTCTCTTTTCTTTCCTTTTTCTTGCAGGGAAGCTTTTGTCCACAACATGCCAGCATGCTGCCTGATCATTTAAGGATTTACACCAGGCGACCGCCATCACGGCGCTGCGAACACAAACGTGATGCTGGGACGTCCCAAACTTTAACAAAACACATGATTAAAAAACAATCAGAAGAAAAATGTTATTCCCATAAAATGTTTACATTTGGTCTCCAGGCCTTTAAATGAGAAACCGGAGAGATGGAAGTCTGCTTTGTTTTTCTGTGTTTACATGTTTAGTCTGAACTCTTTTGACTCTTTCGTGCATCTATCATTTTACTTTGATGTCACACAAAGTCAGTCACACCACTGAAGTGGACACAAATCAATCCATGACACACACACACACACACACACACACACACACACACACACACACACACACACACACA